GGCCAATTGCATAAGGTCAAACAGATTCCTCACTGGCCTTGCAGACAACTTCATTGTCCAGAAAGTGGGAGAAGCAACAAGAGGAACAGCCATTTTAGATCTGGTCCTAACCAATGTGGATGACCTGGTTAGTGGGGTAGAAGTGGAAGGATCATTAGGCGCGAGTGATCATGCTCTTCTGAAGTTTACTATACAGCGGAAAGGAGCAGCCAAGCATACTAGGACTCAATTTCTTGACTTTAAGAAAGCCGACTTCATAAAACTTAGGGAAGTGCTGGGTGAGATCCCATGGACAGTAATACTAAAAGGAAAGGGAGTTCATGATGGCTGGGAGTTTGTTAAGAGGGAGATAGTAAAAGCACAACGTCAGGCAATACCAATGAGATGGAAACATGGAAGGTGCCTAAAGAAGCCAGGGTGGCTATCTAAAGAACTTTTAACTGAGTTAAGATTAAAAAAGGATGTGTACAAAAATGGAAAAGGGGAAACCACCAAAGAGGAATTCAAACAAATAGCCAGCACGTGTAGACACAAAGTCAGAAAAGCTAAAGCACAGAATGAACTCAGGCTTGCTAGAGAGGTTAAAAGCAACAAAAAAGGCTTTTATGGGTATGTCCATAGCAAAAGGAAGAACAAAGAAACAGTGGGGTCACTCAGAGGAGAAGATGGTGAAATGCAAACAGGGGACACAGAAAGGGCTGAACTCCTCAATGCCTTCTTTGCCTCAGTCTTCTCCGATAAAGAAAACAATGCCCGACCTGAAGAATTTGGAGCAAATGATTCAGCAAAGGAAACACAGCCCAGAATAACTAAGGAGATAGTACAAGAATACTTGGCTAGTTTAGATGTATTCAAGTCTCCAGGGCCAGATGAACTGCATCCAAGAGTATTAAAAGAACTGGCAGATGTGATCTCAGAACCACTGGCAGTCATCTTTGAGAATTCCTGGAGAACAGGCGAAGTCCCGGCAGACTGGAGGAGGGCAAATGTTGTCCCTATTTTCAAAAAGGGGAAAAGAGAGGACCCAAATAATTACCGCCCAGTCAGTCTGACATCAATACCAGGGAAGATTCTGGAGCAGATCATTAAGCAAACAGTCTGTGAGCACCTAGAAAGGAATGCTGTGATCACCAATAGTCAGCATGGATTTCTGAAAAATAAGTCATGTCAGACTAACCTGAACGCTGTTTCTGACAGTAGGACAAGCCTGGTAGATGAAGGGAATGCAGTGGATGTAGCCTACCTTGATTTCAGCAAGGCATTTGACCAGGTGCCCCATGATATTCTTGTAAAGAAGCTGGTAAAATGCGGTCTTGACTATGCTACCACTCAGTGGATTTGTAACTGGCTGACTGACCGAACCCAAAGGGTGCTCATCAATGGTTGCTCTTCATCCTGGAGAAGAGTGACTAGTGGGGTGCCACAGGGTTCTGTCTTGGGCCCGGTCTTATTCAACATCTTTATCAACGACTTGGATGATGGACTCAAGGGCATCCTGATCAAATTTGCAGATGACACCAAACTGGGAGGGGTGGCTAACACCCCAGAGGACAGGATCACACTTCAAAACGACCTTGACAGATTAGAGAACTGGGCCAAAACAAACAAGATGAATTTTAACAGGGAGAAATGTAAAGTATTGCACTTGGGCAAAAAAATGAGAGGCACAAATACAAGATGGGGGACACCTGGCTTGAGAGCAGTACATGTGAAAAGGATCTAGGAGTCTTGGTTGACCACAAACTTGACATGAGCCAACAGTGTGACGCGGCAGCTAAAAAGCCAATGCAATTCTGGGCTGCATCAATAGGAGTATAGCATCTAGATCAAGGGAAGTAATAGTGCCACTGTATTCTGCTCTGGTCAGACCTCACCTGGAGTACTGTGTCCAGTTCTGGGCACCACAGTTCAAGAAGGACACTGACAAACTGGAACGTGTCCAGAGGAGGGCAACCAAAATGGTCAAAGGCCTGGAAACGATGCCTTATGAGGAACGGCTAAGGGAGCTGGGCATGTTTAGCCTGGAGAAGAGGAGGTTAAGGGGTGATATGATAGCCATGTTCAAATATATAAAAGGATGTCACATAGAGGAGGGAGAAAGGTTGTTTTCTGCTGCTCCAGAGAAGTGGACATGGAGCAATGGATCCAAACTACAAGAAAGAAGATTCCACCTAAACATTAGGAAGAACTTCCTGACAGTAAGAGCTGTTCGACAGTGGAATTGGCTGCCAAGGAGTGTGGTGGAGTCTCCTTCTTTGGAGGTCTTTAAGCAGAGGCTTGACAACCATATGTCAGGAGTGCTCTGATGGTGTTTCCTGCTTGGCAGGGGGTTGGACTCGATGGCCCTTGTGGTCTCTTCCAGCTCTATGATTCTATGATTCTATGAATTGGTGCCAAAGAAGGACAGAACTTTTTAATGTATGCTACAACAGCAGCAAGAATACTCATTGCAAAGTATTGGAAGACACAAGATCTACCCACTTTGGAAGAATGGCAGATGAAGGTGATGGACTATATGGAACTGGCAGAAATGACTGGCAGAATCCGAGACCAGGGAGAAGAGTCGGTGGAAGAAGATTGGAAGAAATTCAAAGACTATCTACAGAAATATTGTAAAATTAATGAATGTTAGAATGATGTTGGATAGAAATTAAGTGGTTTCCAGCTGTAATGCTTTAAGGGAATATGAAAAATGGGTTGTTAATAAGTAAAAATCTAACGTTACTATTTTAAGACCAAAGATTAGGATAAATAAAGAGGGTAAGGATTTGCTGAACCAACAAATTGAACTGGAATACAAAAAAGGGAGGTATGAGGAGGTCCGGGAAACAAGCTTAGGAAAAATAAGTAATGGAAAAACTGAGTGGTTTTTAATCATTTTTATTTTGTATTTTCTTTTTCTTTTTCATTTTTATATTGTAACATTTTGAAAATCTCAATAAATATCTTAAAAAAAAATAATAAAGTTCTTCTTGACATTTATGTTGTTTGTCTGTTGTGTGAGTTTGTTGACGTAAATCAAGGGTTTCACTCTGACTGAAGCCATAAGTGCTTTCCCCCCTCTGTGTCTGTAGATGTCTTCCTCTAAGATTTTCACTCTTACTGAAACTTTTCAGCACTCCATTCATTAAAATGATCTCTCCCTGTATGTGTCCGTTGATGTATATTGAGGTGTCCACTCTGACTGAAGCTCTTTCCACACTCCGTGCATTTAAATGGCTTCTCCCCAGTGTGAGTCTGTTGATGTATTCTAAGGTTTCCAGTCTGACTGAAGCTCTTTCCACACTGAATACATTTAAATGGTTTCTTCCCTGTGTGTGTTCGTCGATGTAAATGGAGTCTTGAACTGTCACTGAAGCTCTTTCCGCACTCCATACATTTGAATGGTTTCTCCCCTGTGTGAGTCCGTTGATGTGTTCTAAGGTGTGCACTCTGACTGAAACACTTTCCACAATCCATGCATTTAAATCGTTTTTTACTTATGTGAGTCTCTTCATGTGTTCTAAGGGCTCCACTAAATCTGAAATTCTTTCCACACTCCATACTGAGGCAAGGAAGAAGGGCTACCCTTATGCTATTCATATAATCAGTTATCAGTAATCAATATATTCATATACGCTCACACATAATCAGGGCTTACAGTATTTTATAATCCATTTTGAATCAAAGGGAAGCTGTGACTTAGCTAACTGCAAACTGCTTGAAACAGCAAAATTAGGAGCTGACCTTTCCCCTACAAACATCCGTGTACTCTGAACAAGGGGAAGACGTGAATCAGAGATACTGCTGCAAAATCCCCTCAAATAGAGGCTAAATTAATCCACTGGAACAGGAAGAGCTAAACCACAAAAACTCCAATACTCCCTGTCCTGTCATAACTAGGGGAGAGGTTAGACAGAGCGTCACTGCAAGCAACGGAAAGCAGAACTCAGTGCTTGACCAGTGCTTGGCCAGGAGCTGGAAGCATGGCAAGAAGCTTGCTAATTGGCTAATTTTCGCTGGCGATATCATGACTGCCTCATGGTCTATGATTTGCTGTGATCTGCTCAGGTATAAAGACCTCTGGATTTCTGTCAGTCGGGGTCCCAGTTCCTTTTGGAAGAGATTCCACGAGACTGGCTTCATTATTATCAGATAATGGAGGCATTTAAATTGGACAGGAAAATTGGTTTCCAGGTGGAAAGATCCAAATTAGAAACAGAATTGTTAGAACCCAAAACTGAGAATTTGTCAAGAATGTACAACTTGCTGCTGAAATGGAATACTCAAGATGAAACGGTAAAATTGGCTATGATTAAATGGGCACAGGACGTTGGACATAATATTATGTTTGCTGACTGGGAACAGTTATGGACCACAGGTATGAAATTTATGGCATGTAATGCCTTAAGAGAGAATATTATGAAAATGATATACAGGTGGTACATAACCCCAGTCAAGCTTGCAAAAATCTATCACTTGCCCGATAATAAATGTTGGAAATGTAAAGAAACTGAAGGTACATTTTTTCACCTTTGGTGGACGTGCCCAAAGATTAAGGCTTTCTGGGAAATGATATATAATGAATTAAAAAAGGTATTTAAGTATACCTTCCCCAAGAAACCAGAGGCCTTTCTCCTGGGCATAGTGGGCCAAATGGTGTTAAAAAGGATAGAACTTTCTTTATGTATGCAACAACAGCAGCAAGAATACTCATCGCAAAGTATTGGAAGACACAAGAACTTCCCACGCTGGAGGAATGGCAGATGAAACTTATGGACTATATGGAACTGGCGGAAATGACTGGTAGAATCCGTGACCAGGGAGAAGAGTCGGTGGAGGAAGATTGGAAGAAATTCAAAGACTATCTTCAGAAACATTGCAAAATTAAAGAATGTTAGAGTGATGTTGGACTGAAAATAAGCGGTTTCGTGCTGTACAGGCTAAAGTTAATGATAGACTAAGATTAAAAATTAGGATTAAAGATGTTTAAAGAAATGGAAATTTGACATTAAGAGGGAAAATTTTAACGTTATATGATATTAAGACTAAAGATCAGGTTTAAAGAAATTGAAGTTATATATTTCAATATTTTATTAAAGTTAAAGATTGGGATTAAAAAAGTGGAAAAGAAATTGCTGGACAAATAATTTGGATTTGGAATACAAAAGAGGGAGGTATGAGGAAGTCCAGAAAATAAGTAACTAAAAAACGGAAATGGAAAAGAGATATTGTTTTTAATTATTATGTTTTTTGTACTTTTATTGTTGAATCTTGTTTTTTTTTTTGTGCTTTTGTTATATGTATTGTGTATGTTTTTCTTTTCTTTCTTTGTTGTTTAAAATTTAATAAAAATTATTTTTTTTAAAAAAAAGATTCCAAAT